GCACACAGTGGCACATAATCATATAGGTCAATTCACACACACACACACACACACACACACACACTCACACAAAACCTTTACAGAAAAAAAATTCATTAAAATATCCAAAGACTAAAGCACATGTGCACAGTCACACACACACAGAGACACTCCTACAGACACACTGACACATGAAGAAACACATATAGAGATACATACAGAGACCTGGATACACATGCACACAAAACTGCCTCCACTTACAAAGCTTAAATAATCAAAGACAGGCGTGCACATGTATGCACACACACACACTCACACACACACACGCACACACACACACGCACACACACACACACACACACACACACACACACGCACACACACATGACCTAGCTTGTTAGGTGAAATAAAGCCCTAGCTGTTTTTGAGAAGTGGTGAAAACGGCAGAGTATAGAGTCAAAACAGGCACAGGTGGCCCTCAGTTCCCTTCTAGCCTCTAGTCTAGAGGCCAAAAGTTCTCTCCCTGTGCAGCCCAGGAGGACCCCAAGACTGAGACCACATCCTCATTAGAAACCGGCAAATGCCCAGAAGGGTTTTACTGAGAGCACTCCCTCTGCACCCTTCCGACTGCATCAGTCTTTGAATCTAGGGCAGATTTCTGCTCGTCCAACCAACACCAAAGGAAGGTCCTGGAGCGACTGAGGGCACACCTCCCAAGGGCCACACAGCCCTGTGGGGCTGACCCTGAGCAGCCCTCGCGTCCGTAAAGTAAGGCACTCTAGCAGAAGTGGCGGCAGCTGAGAAGAGAGTAGAAGGGGATCCCAGGTCGTATTGCCTGGAAACCATCACAGACTGCCACCTGCTGTGGCTCAGAGACAGAGAAATGGCCCTTCCCTCACCAGCCTTCTGTGACCACCTAAGGGTGCTCTCAGTCTGCGAGGCTCCCGTTGGTCTGTAGGGACATGCTTGGTAGATAAAGTGACTCCATTCACCTTTAGGGAGAGAATACTCACTGGGGTACACAACGGTGAAGGTGCTTATCTGGAAATGCAACTGTTTTAATTCTCTTTAAAACAAGTGCCTGGGGATTTGGGGGTGAGTCCAGCTGGGTCTCTCCAGCTGTTGGATTCCCAGGCAGGGCACAGCCTGATTTAATGGCACATCCTTTGCTGGACTTGACACGAGCTGGGCTGTCGCTGGACACAGTGCACATGAGCCATTCTTCCATGCAGACAAACTCTGCCAGAGTGAACTGTGGTGGAAGGCACCTCTTGGCACTAGGGTAGAATACACCGTGACATGTCTTCTATGGCATCCTGTGCGGATTTCTGTTATAAGGTCAGGCTTTGCACCAACTCCGGCCTTGTGTGCAGAGTGCACACTCCATGTACACAGGGCCAGTGTGGAAAAGAGATGACTTTCCTGTGCTGACTCTGAGAAGAGTAAAAGGCACAGGAGAGCTCTCACTGTTCCTCCCAAATGCCTAAGCTCCCCTATCCTGGGAAAGCCCATTCTTTCTCTCCCAGATCTAGGACTACGCACATCTCACGCCAAGACCACCACAGTACCCAGCCTGAGTCACCCCAAGACCACCACAGTACCCAGCCTGAGTATCTTGGTAGGGCTCCAAGATCTGGGATCCTTCACCACGGTTGCAGCAAGGTGTGTGTGTGTGTGAGAGAGAGAGAGAGAGAGAGAGAGAGAGAGAGAGAGAGAGAGAGAGAGAGAGAGAGAGAGAGAGAGAGACATAGAGTACACATGAGCACACACAACCCTCAGGCTAGAAGGGAACTGAGGGCCACCTGTGCCTGTGGAGTGTGTGTGTATGTGTGTGTGTGTTTGTGTGTGTGTGCCTGTGTGTGTGCCTCCTCCCTGTATACATGCCAGTCTCAGCCTGTGAGACCCCAGCAAGGAGATGTGTGGACATGTACACTCATACGTGCTGAGTTTATGCAGGCATGTGTGGGCTGTGACGGCTCAGCTGGGCCAATTTTTAGTGACAGATTGTGTGTACGTCTATGACTACAGTTTCTACCAAGTGCATGGAAAAAACAGAAAAGATGAGTCCAACTCCCTGGGTGGGCACTCCTGCAGCTCTGCAAGTGTGTGTGAGCATGGGTGTGTCTGGACGGGTTAGGGAGGACTACCGTGAAGAAGGGCCGTGGAAAGAGCAAACATAGGGTCAGAAAGTGGCCTCCAGACAGAGACCCTGATGCTATCCTGGAGGCCCAGAGAGACTGAGAGACAGAAGAGCAGCTACAATGAGGAGAGAGGTCCCTACCCCCACCCCTCCCCTCTGTCTGGTTTGGAACAGATGGCACTGAGACCAGATTAGGGATGCCAGTGGCTGTCCTTGGAAACAGCATATCCTGGAGGACAATGTCCAGGAGGCAGGGTAAAGCCCAGGGGATACTCTCACATCAAAGGCATCTCTGCTTTGATCACCAGGTCATCTCTTACACAGACAGTGTCCAAGTCAGCTACAGGTGTCATACCCCCTTGCCTCCCTCCTGAGTCCCTGGAGGTGGACATCAGCTGCTAGGAATCCACAAAGACCTAGCTGCAAGCCACCTCCGGGGCAAGCAGGAACTCAGCGCTCCCCAGGGTCCTACCGGCCCATAAGTCTTGGAATCTCAAACACAGATTTGTGGCTGCAGCATGCACTCATTTAGAGACCTGGCCATTCTAGCCCCTGGGGTATGCCCCTCTCCTCCCATCTGGGTTTTCCACAGTAGGCTCCACAGTTAGGTGGCCCCTGCTTGACTCCTACAGCTGAAAGGACCCACCCTCCCCAACATCCCTAAAAGCCTACAGCAGTTTCCTGGGGATCCGGTAGAAACGAAGGCCCTAACCTCCATGCCTGACCTCTCAATTCCATGCCCTACATGCCTGACCTCTCAATTCCATGCAAATGCAGATAGAGATCTGCAATTTAATAACAACCCCAAGGGACATCCTGTCACTTGATTCCTGGAGCTGTGGCTCATCTCCTAGGCTAAGTTGTCCGACTGCTGTGCCTTTCTCCTGGCTTGAACACCTCCCAGCACCACCCAGTTCCACCTCCTTCCCAGGGATACAACCTGCCACGTCTCCATCTACCTGCACACCAGAAACCATTCCTCAGGCCATCGCTATAGCCATCATAGGAACATATCTGCTCCCAGTAGGACAGGGTCCTGCTCTGCTCTTACACACAAACACACACACATGCTTACACATGCACAACTGTACCATGAAATGAATCATTCAGTTCGACTTCTCGGTTTGCAGGGGTGAAGCCATGTGTCCCAGTCCTGTGGAGTCCCTCCCCTGCTCCACATCTAGTAGGCATTCCTAGACCCAGATGACTGGGGACAGAGGGTTCAGGGGTAGCAAAGGGTTCAGGCCCAGCTGCCGCTACAGGGACAACTGTGTGACTGCTTGAACCAGCCTCAGTTTCCTTCTCTAGCTAGTGGGAAATCCATGGTGCCTAAAGGAATGTGTTATGAGCAGGAAGTGCTGCAACCTAGGTTGAACATCTGGCTCAGTGCCCGGGACGTAGTGAGCCTGCAATTATTGCAGCTACAGAACAAAAGGAAAGAAGTCAGGAGAGCTCACAGCAGGGCACCCCTGGCCTCACTGCCTGTGCTCTCCCCTTGCCTGGCCCTTCCTGGGACATGAATTGTTCCCCAGGCCAATTCATTCTCTTCCTTTCCTTTCCTTTCCCCTCAAACCAAAGTCAGCGCAGAGTCTCCTCCCGGAAGCCTCTCGCTACTGCAGCCTCCACAACCTCTTTGAGTCTCTGAGTCCTGCAGCCCAAGACCTCAGACCCCCTATATACATGCCAGCCCAGCCAGGCTCCTCCGTGCATGCATACTGGGTCTGCCTTCCCGAGTCTGGGAAGTTTCCATAACAAGCCAGTGCTGTGGTTCCACGATCCCAACAGAGCTCCCCTGGACCCTAGCTGGACCTATCTCCCGCAGCAGTTCCTCTGACGATCTGCAGAGACGAGACAAGGGGGACTACCACTCTATACTCAAGAAAATCCAGGTGCCTTTTAGCATTGGGTATCTTTGCATGCTATCATCTATTGTGAATCGTGCATGTCATAGAAAGAGTAAAGCTGGTAGGCTGGAAAGAAAGAGGCCAGTGTCCATCATTCCCCCAAAGATAACCACTGTGAATGTTTGCTGACACGCTGGACCTCCTCCAGCTGGGGAATGGCATCCCGCATACCTACAGCATCCTCCACATGGGATATATACACTGTTGGGGAAGTAGATAGGATAGCAGCCAACCCCGCCCCGCTGTGTGGAGGACTTGGGACTCCTGGTGAGTTAGCGTTCAGAAAAGAGACCTCCCCCAAGTTGTGTTAGCACTACCTACTCCATTGCATTGGGACACCCTGGTGACTCTCAGGAGTCCTCTTTGTGAATGACAAAAGTGAAGAAGACAGTAACTAGGAAGGGGAGTCAGGTACCTGGGCTGGGGAACTTGAGGGCACCCTGAATCCATCGCCAGCTTCTCTAGGTCTTGACAGTCTCCCCCGGAAACAGAATGCAGGGTCCCAGAGAACCTCTCACTCTCTAACCCTGCCAGGTAAGATTCCTGCTGGCTCAGAGTCTAGGATGCAGCCACTCAGAACCCTGGAAGATGCGAATGGGGTTGACCATGGGCAGGTCTAAGGACTGGCTTGGGACCACAGTCCAAGTGAGAACAGGCGAACTGACTGAGTCTAAACAGGCAGGGACTGTGGGGCTTGTGACAGTGACTACAAAGTGGGTATTTCCTCGGCTAGAAAGGCACTCTGGAGGCAGCTGTGGGGCACCACATGAAGTCCAAAGTGGGCTTCATGTTTGAGAGCTACAGGGTGGCCACGCACAATGGTTGTTATCCTACAAGCGCTGAGCTCCTTCTAACCTGTAAGTCAGGAATAACACCAACTCCGTGAGTTATTGCCGCAATTAAATGGGAATATGTAGAAACATCTAGAACAGTCTTGTGTAACGGCAATAATCATGGCAATAATAATAAGAGAAGCACTGTTAGCATGTATTTATCAGTAGACACTGCCGGCACAATGCAAGCATTCCAAAACACCGTCTCATTTAATACTTCCTGTTTTCCTGGGGGACATTTCCATTTCTGTTTTATAGGCAGGGAAACAGAGGCATGGAGAGTTTGAGCAACTTCTCAGTGTACAGTCAAGACAGGAAGCTGTGCTTCAGAGAGTCACGGGCTTGGTAAAGAGCGCTTCTGCGTGGCGTGGTTGAGTCCCTTCATGTGTGGATGAGGGGACGAGTCTTAAGCGGGGCTCCAGGCTCCGCGCTTGTGGCACTGTGGCGGAGGAACACAGCAGCGGGCTCCTGAAGTTCAGGGGAGGCACAGTGAGCACTCAATAATGAGTGTTTATTTATTGCTTCTGTTTACAGCTCTATTCCCAAAGTGAATTGTTTGTTTAAGCAAGGAGCATTTACCTTTATTACAGTCATTGGTAAATAAAATTATATTTGCATTTCCACAAATATGAATGAGTTTAATTAGTCTTGCAGTTCCTACACAGGAGCCAGTCCAGGAATCACATTCAGAAACTCACACTTCTACCCGAGGCAAAAAGCCTTCCCAGAAGAGCACCGTCAGGATTAGACCATTCATTCATTCGTTGGTTCATTCATTCATTCACAGTTATCGATCATCCACTTCATGTCAGGCACGGCTCTAGCTATTTGGAGAAACAGCAATGACCAAGGGAGACAGACCCCTGGCTCTCACGCACCTACACCCGCACGAGGAAAGTCAGACAATAAGTTAAGAATAAAAATAAAACACCTGCTCATAAGTGCTGAGCTGAGAATTAAAACCTACGGCGCAACATGGCTGAGGCTACTATATTATGGGTGAGCAGGGGGAGGGCCTCCCAAGAAACTGGCACGAAGTCAAGATGTGGACCAGCCCGAAGAGACAGAAAAGCACTACATTCGGATGAACAGAACACGTAAAAGCCCCGAGGCAGTAACAGCCTATGTTCCAGGAACAGAAAAGGACCGGGGTGCCCGGCGTCATGGGGTGCCGGGCATCATGGGGTACCAGGTGTCATGGGGTGCCGGGCGTCAAGGGGTACCAGGTGTCATGGGGTGCCGGGCGTCATGGGGTGCCGGGCGTCATGGGGTGCCGGGCGTCAAGGAGTAGACGGGAGGCTGAGGTAGGAGATGACTGACAAAGACAGGTTGTGATGGGCCTGGTGGGTTGAGGGAGCTTTAGCCACAAATTATAGTCCGGCAATAAAAAGCATGTTCTAATCATGCCCCAGATTATCTCCCCGGCTGCTGTAACAGACACAGTCCTGAGCCGCCATGCAGCAGTACTGAAGTTGAGATTAGCCAGGGAGGGGAGTGTTGAAGGCATTCCTGGGTCAGGGTGTGTTGTGAAAGTGGAGGTCCTGATGGCATGGAGGAGACAAGGACAATCTGACCCACTCAGTGGCGAATGCTGTTTAAAGATGGGATGCATTTGAGAGGGGCAGGAGTTCAGAATTCTTCTTTAGTGGTGCTGGGATGAGAAAGCCTGTAGCAGACATAGGTGAAGACCCTAGGCTCAGGGTAAAGACATCCAAGGTGCCACGGTTTTAAAGCCGTTTTAAGACTGTACGAGTTAAACAAGACTTCCTAGCTGCAATTGTTGGTCTTACTTGCTATGCTATGCTGAGCATCTGTTAGGTCACAGGCTGTGCAGTGTGCACTATGAAGTCCCACACATGAACAATAGCCCCGCCTCTTGGCAAAACCCTTCATGCAGGGGAACTTCTGCCCACATTCTGACCCTCAGGCATTGGCAAAGTCCACACACACCACTGTGTCCTTCCAGTGCCCCCCTTAAGTCTCTCAAGCTGCAGCTTCTTTCACACCAACTTTCGCTGGGCCTCTGCCGTTGCCCTCTCTTGGGGTGCTAGCTCCCCGTGATGCCAGAGCTGAGCTCCACCCAGGAGGTAGAGCTGCTGTCCAGGGGTGAGTCAGCCGATTCTCAGCGGAGATGTAGGTCACTCAGCTCCCGCCTCCCTCCCCTGCTGCTTCACAGAGCTAGAGCCTTCCACCCTCCCTACCCAGTGACCCGTGTCACTGTCACCCACATGCCCTGCCCCACCTTTGATGGCCTCCTGGAGCCTGGTCTTACCATAATGCTTTCCTTGGGAACTTGTCTGACCACAGAGCCGCTACCAAATGTCTAAAGAAGATGGCTGGCTCTTTCTCTTTTAGCATAAAAGAAAAAAATCAGTATTGATAGAACCAGTGTGTCCAGAAAGAAGCTGATGTGTTACATACGTGTTAAAAATGCATCTGCCAGAGGCAATGTATGGCCCCAGACTTTCAGGAACACTAGCAACCCCGTCTAAGTCCTGCTGGCTGCAGGCAAGTGAGAGTCCCTATGACAGACTGTACCCCAAGCTTCTCTTCGCAGACAGACTCCAAAGCATCCCTCTGAGCACCATTGGGGATACCTGGGTGAGAACCCAGTGTCCAAAGGTCAGCTTCAGAAAGCCACGTCCTGGGAAGGAAGTCCAAAAGATGGCAGAGGGTGAGTCATGTCACATACACACTATCATTGGTTGTTTGTGTGTAAACACCCCTGCCTGTGATTTCCACGTGACCTCATACATGTTCTCTGTCCACACCTGAGATATCTCCCAGGACCTGACCAGCCCCAGAGTCAGTACATGTGACTGTTTATGTTTGTTTAAATCAAATTTACTCGTATGTAATTAAAAATTTCAGTCCCCTCCCCATTGCATTAATCATTTTTGCAGTGTTTGATGGTCCAAAGTATCCAAGGATGTCCTGGACTTCCTATAAACCCACTAGCTCAACAACATTGCTCTGGAGAGTGTGGTGGCATTGGCTCGGGACTGCAGGCCAGCAGGGAGTGCCACACAACACACCGTGCCACACAGAGGAAAGAACAACACGCGAAGGGTAGTTTGTGTGCGTTGTCATCACTGTATGCATTTGTGTGTTATATGCATTTGTGTGTGTACAGGCACACCACACACAAGTACCCAGAGTCATGGGTCAATGTCGCGTGTTATTCCTCAATCACTGTTAGCCAAACCTGGAGTTCACCAACTTGGCTACACTGGTGGTCAGGAAGCCCCTGGGGTTTCTTCCTGTTATTCCTGGCTTTCTGTGGCGATTCTGGGCCTCTAATTTGTATCCTCATGCTTGTATAACTGACTGAATCATCTACCCAGCCACCTTAAAGGACAGTTGCCACGGACTGTGTTTGGCCTTTGCACTACTGTGTAGTAGAAATATGCTGACTGGAAGGTGTTAAACATTGTGTGTCTGTGATGCACAGCCTCGCCTTGGTGATGCAGAACTGTTCTAAGATGTGGGGAATGGGTACCACGCCTGCATATACCGACGAGTGCACATAGAAACCAGCATGTAGGGATCTCTTCGGGGCGTGCTGTACATGCATGTGTTTAGGCTGTTCTGTACGCACGGGTTTAAGAAGTAGACTTCATCCCCTATTTCAAGCCTCCTATCTCCAGTTTTATGAACCCAGGTTCCAGAATCCCACTGCCTGGGTTCAAATGCTCACCCTCCCACCTTCTAGCTGTGTGGCGTTAGGCAAGGGCTCAACATCTCTGTGCCTTGGCTTCTTCTTTATAAAGTGAAGATAACAATGGAGCCGCCGGCCAGGTTATTAAGAACATTACATGAGATGATACGTGTGAAGCTCGCAGCACACACTGAGCTATTAATAAATGTGAGCTGTTAGCATAGTCTCCAGGAGTGTTTGCTGCACCGGGGCAGCCTTGAAGAGTAGGAGTGAGGGGAGAGTTGTGGAGAGCAGACACAGGACACGGAGGTGGCTTTATTGAGGACCCTATAAGGCGAGAGTCCCAGACACCAGTGGCCCTAGGTAGAGAGCCCAGGGAAGAGACTATCATCAAAACCATGAAACCATGGTACCAGGAAGGAACGCAGCCCCAGCCACAGCACCCAGAGGAGGAAGAAAGGGCTGCACGTGTAACCGCTCCACATGTCAAAATTGCTTTCCATATTCAACAAAACATTAAACGTACACTTTGCCCTTGAGGATCCCAAACCCCTCCTGGGAAATAAGCGTAACCCCAAAACAACAATCAGAGTGCAAAGATCCGGGTGGTTGACATAACTCAGCAAGTGAGACCCTTGACCCACAAGCCTGATGGCCTGAGTCACATGAAGAGGGGGTGATAGAAGCATCCCCGTAAACTAGACTTCTGACCTCCACATTGGAACCGTGGGGCACATGCAGCATACACATTGTACTCAGTAATAATAACAGTCTGAGAGAATGCAAAGACCCAGAAAGAAGGACAGAGAGAGAGAGAGAGAGAGAGAGAGAGAGAGAGAGAGAGGGAGGGAGGGAGGGAGGGAGGGAGGGAAGGAAGGAAGGAAGGAAGGAAGGAAGGAAGGAAGGAAGGAAGGGCCCTGAACAGTGGCGTTCCTAGGGGAGCTCTTATCTGAAGTAGCCATCAAAATACGAAGAAGCATTTCTATTCTGATCCTCTTCTCACCTCCCTGCTCACCGGCTGCGCTGGGCATGATGTCCTGGATGTAGAGATCGTGCACACAGAACTATATTTGAAATAGGTCGGAAGGATGCATGAATCTGTTTGGCTTTATTATGGCCTTTTGTTTCTTTTGTTTGCTTGTTTGTTTTTTTCTAAGACAGGTTTTCATTCTGTAGCCCAAAGTGGCATGGAAGTCAATATGTCATCCAGGGTGATCTCAAGTGTGTGGCAACCCCCCTGCCTTATCCCCTAGAGTACAAGGATCATAGGCTTGTACCACATCACTGAGTTCTAGGACTGATGATATTTTACAAATAACAAAATGGAGTCTAGTGCAGTTGGACTGCTTGTCCAGGACTACACAGCTAGTAACAACCACACCCATCCCAAGCACGAAAACATAGAAACTAAGTAGCCATGCATCCTTATGCAAACGCTCAGGGGTTGGCCTCTGAGGGGACCTACAGTGCAACAACCTGGCAAACACTTCTAACTCAGGAGGTCTAGTTGACCTCAGAAGGTCCCACCCAATGCCTGCTACAGGCTGCCTGTGTTTCCAGATGTGGCCAGCAGAGGGCACCGTGACTACTGTGCCGCTGGGCCAGGGACTTCACCACCTAAAAATTCCACATGTCCAATGCAAACCACCGTCGCTCTTACCCGGTATGCATGAAGCCTTAGACTACACCCAGTTCTGGAAAAGAAAGAAAAACGTCTCCTCCAAGGAAATCTTGTGCCTGATGTGGTGTAAAGTCACTGTGCTTCCTGTGACGGCACTGAGAGAAGGAAGAGGGCTCACCTCTAGGGAGC